TAGTTCCTTCTTACTTTTTTGTAAAACTCTAGCAATATTACCCGGTGACCCAACATGGTTATATTCCTCTTCAATTCAATGCTACTTCCATTAATTTCAAATTGACTGAGCAATTGATTCCTGCTTTTAATTTGTGATAGAAAACAATTATTCAGCAGCTTTACAAGTTTTCGTGTTTTGTCATATTTACAACATCGGTCCAATACACCCTGATAAATTTACATATTGTAAGCGGTTTTCCCAAATCATTGGCTACTGAAATCTACAAGAAATGACCATCGAATGCTATCCCTTGGACACTCATTTGAAGACTATAGCAACAGCTTTAGTCAACATTTTCCTAACGGATGTCATATATAAACTGAAACCGCCAATTCCAAAATTAGATTTAGTTTCCCAATAAAATGCAACATTCATGACTGCACGTGCTGCCCGTGAAATCGTCACAACAACAGAAAGAAACACAAACGAAAAATCTGATACATAACGTTATTTCATGGTTGTAGCATAAACATTTAATTATAAGAATTGAATGTTGTTTTATTTTTGTTTGTAAATTTATAGTGATTTAAAAGCGTTGATCTTGTGCACATTTTTAGTATGAAACGCTTCCGCTTCTAAATACTTCCGGTGTGTAAAAGAAGACTTTATTCATAAACAATATTATATATTACACGTATTTCCATTGCCGGAGGGAGAAATGAAGATTTGTTCTCTGAAGAAAATTAAATTTTACGAGGGAGATCAAATATGTTTTGTCTTTTTGTCGCCATGAAAAAACTGGCATCTTTTTAGTGTGCATTCACTTTACATTTTAATGAAACAGTACGTTTTCAAAACTTTTATAGTTGCCCAAAATATCGTGTTCTGAAAATAGGGCTCATTCGCTTTCTACGTTTAGATAATTCTTCAGTTGATATCAATATCTAGCAGAAATTAGTTTCAGATAATTGTCGTTAGTATACTAAACGTGCGAAATTATGTTGTAAGGTACACATGGTACATAAACTCAAAACATGTTTATTCAACGAATTTGCAATGTGTGAACATAATGTATTTACAGCACCTTGTTGCTTTGCTTCTAAATCAATATCAAAATTAAACCAGATGCCTAGGTTTAGATTTATATGTTTGCCTTATACATGTTATACAAGTACATGTTTTAAAAACGGATTTTGAGCTACACTTTCCGTGTTTAACACGGTGTTAGATATAGTCAGAATTCTGGTCGTAATCAGTACTGGAATTAATACTGTTAGAACAGTGTGCACCGTTCAATTCTAAAACATTCCATATTTATGAGGACTTGTTTTATGTTTTCTGCTAAACTTATATCATTTGAAACTACATGAATGGACATACATTTTTTTGGAATTTTTGTTTGATCTGTTTTACTGCCCCGATCGGTTCAAACCACAGATTTGTGAATTGGTATTTACTGCATTTCTGCTTAGCCCGCGTCATTGAAGAGTTAAGACTCGTCAGAAAAATGTCCCCAAGTAGGGTTACATGTCTTCATGTGGACTTTTATGAACTAGCACATTAAAATCCGACTGAGCCTGTCGATTTAGTACAAGATGATCTTTTTTTTTAATTGATGCGTCCAAAATACGCCTTTATTTGGATAAACGTTCATCAGAAGTACAAGTAAAACGAATAAACGTGTTATATTCAACCATGATTGTCATTGCATGCATGTTAAACATTACTATGATTAAATGCAGTTAAATCATGCTTTGATACAAGTTTTCTGAAAGGAGAAAAATACCCGTTTAATCTCAGCTTAAAGTGCCACTGGGGAACGTATCAAAAGTTACAATTTAATGAAATGTTCTTCTGGTGAACATTGAAATATTTCCCTGGAGAACACATATCAAATATTATAATAAAGAAAAATGTTCTTCTGTGGAACATTGAATTTCAATGGGGAACATGTATAAAAAGTTTTCATTTAGTCGAAAGCTATAAATGATTTATGTTGTGCAACAGTCTCCCAGAAATTAACAGGTTTCCGTTATAAAATATTTACTGCTAGGAGGGATATCTTCTTGATCATTGAGTCATTTATAACATTCAACTTAGTGATTATTTGTATATGTTATTCCCAGAGGAAGATTGTACTAGTTGGTAACTTTTTTTATGTGTTCCCCAGAGGAACATTACAATGTTTACCAGGGGAACATTTAACTAAATGATGTTTTTTACTGTGTGTTCCCCAGGGGGAAATTTCACAAAATGGTAAAATAAGTATGTATTATTACGCATGCCAATGCACTACTTGTCGGTTCCCGAAGGTGAACTTTGTAGCGTGATATTGAAAAAAAACCGAATCAACGCAATTACACTTGAAGAAAACCGTTTAGATACTCTTATGAAATTAGCAATTATCGACATGCATTCGTTCCATTGACATTGCAAATCTTCAAGTCAAACATACAAATTCAGTACACGTGCCCTCTAACACCTTTTACTGCGTTTCAGCATGTTTAATTTGCATCTTTTTTTATACATAAGGAGGTTTAATCTGACTTCAGTCTACTTTCGGATTTCTAATAGTATGAAACAAAAATGAATACTTATGCAGAAATAAAAACAACAAATTAAGTAATACTTTAATTTTTCTATATTATGAACATGATGAAATACATTTAAAAACTCATAAATAAAACTTCAATATATCACATTTGCTTTTACAGTTCCTTTTATGAATGATCTGCAAATTGGACCTCTGCTAAGCGCAGGCGCACAGTATGTGCAGGCAGCTAGATGACCACATGGAAGAAAGACTATGGCTATTGGTTCGTCTAGACATAATTTACATGTTTGTTGATCTTTCAGGTGTTGCTTTTCTTCTTCTAAGCTTCTTGCATTGTAGAAACTGAAATATAATTTTAAACAAATCATTGAATATTTCATTAAAGTCAATATTTTTTTAGGATATTAAACGTGTGATGTCACTAGTTATGATATAAAAATCTATCAAACCCCGTCAGAAAAAATATTTCGAAATTTGGCTTCTAAAGGTAAACAAATTCAACTTTTGTCCGGTAAAAAGAAAGGAAATAATGTCGTTTATTTTTTTCAACTAGGTTGTCAGTGGCGGAGGTGGTTTTTCAGTACCCGATCATGTTAATTATCCGCATATACCCAGTGCTACTGTTCTTGTATGGTTTGATAAAACAATCGGATATGTAATATTTAGTTTCTAAATAAGATAATTGTCGCAATTTCAACTTCGAAAGAGTTTACTTCAGATTCTTTTGCCTTTGATGTTTAAAACCATACTATTTTATTATTATCCCTAAACTTTTTGTCTCGAGCGTGTCTGATAAAGTATACGTCAGATGCACTTTTATCGGCATCATACGTTCATTTATTAATGGTCTCATTTGTGTTCTGGTGAAATTAAAACGCGAAGTAAAATAGTTTAAAATAACGCCGACGGGAATCAAGGTATATGTAAGGTTATAGTTGTATATTTACATTCAAGATCAGGATTACTTGTAGAGTCTTCGGTAGATTTATTTTCGTAATGAAGGTTGAATTTTTCAAATGAAAATAACACTTTTCAAATTTCGTGTCTGGAGAGCTTTTCAGATTTACCCTTCATTATTAACGTTCATATACAAATTTTTGAAAGCAAGAAATGTATAAATAAGTTGAAACGTTATGAGCTATATTAACTAAAAAGACCTTACAAACATAGCCAAATTCGTTAAAGTCAATGTTTTTGTGTACTCCTAAAAACTACAAACAAGATAGTTAAATTCTTAAACTAAATATTATATTCTAACGCTTAAAAATGAAATTACGAGTTAAATAAAACTTTCCGATTGTTTGGTCTGAAATTTTCCTACGAATTGTCTTATAGATGAAAACAATACATGTGTTCGTCGTCAGCGCTTTTCCTGATTTACGGACACTACCTTCAAGCTTGATACAACTCTGAAATTGGATTCTGATTAAATATTTGACACATCAAAGGTTTCTGACACAGAATGAATGTGGTCAAAGAACTGGAAAATTTGAAATTATACTTTTACTTATTTATGTTATAATGGTCCAATATCCAATATCCAAAAACTAAATACACAGTTAGATTCAGCATATCAAAGAACCTCAAGAATGTAATTTTGATGAAATCAAACAAAGTTTAATCTGGACCCTTTGAACCTCAATGTGGGCCAATTTGATAACAGGCTCCAAAATCCAAAATCTAAGTTCAAGGTTAGATTCAGCATATCAAAGAACCCCATATAATCAATCTTTGTTAAAATCAAACAAAGTTTAATTTTGAACCTTAATTTGGACGGATTCAGCATATCCAAGTTCACCAAAATTTAATTAATTCATTAACTAATGGACAATATTAACTAAGATTTAAAGGGGTTCGCGTCATCAAAAAATATATATATATATAACACTGGACACTTTTAATTTGCAAAACACTCATTTGCAAATCCGCCGCCGCCTCTCCTTAGAGCTACAGTGTCGTGTATATAACCAAAATGTGCGGAATTACATGGGATTCAATAATTTAATTGCTTTTCTGCTGTTATTATCATAGATATTTTGTAATTTGATTTAGAAAAACATGGGATTTTCAATATCCCATGGGATAGGGCAAATCCCATGGGATTGACCATTATCCCATGGGATTTTGGTTAAATCCCATAGGATTTTTTGGGGTCCCATGGGATAATTGTAGTCCCATGGGATATTTGTTGTCCCATGGGACAAAAAAAATCCCATGGGACTATAATTATCCCATGGGATTTTTAATATCCCATGGGACACATGGGATAAAATAAAATCCTATGGGATTCAAATTATAAATATACAGTAAATAAATGTGCATGTTACAATGAATTCTGTTTGGTAGTAAATTGTTTTAAGATGAATCTTTTTAGTTGAATATCTTTTTTTCCTGGGAAATGTTAATGCAATTATATTGTTCTATAACTGTTCAAAACTAAACTTTTAAACAACAAAGCAGATAATGTAAGTATCAATATATGTTTATTTATGAATTCTAGAATACTTTTTTGAAACACAATTTTTCCCATTTGAAATCAATGAAAACTCTATTAATAGGCTTAACATACTAGTAGCTTTTTACATAAATCTATTTTTTTTTCAGGATATCCCTCCACCCAAAAAATTAATAGTTTCTTATCATCCAGCATTGTGTGATCGTAATGTATAGTCCACTTTTTGGCCATTCAGCACAGAACATAGTCATTATTGTGGTTTTAATATCTTTAGATATTTAATAGAACTTCAATTCATTGACTGAGTGATGAAAATAATAACTGATCTGACTTTTGTCTTTGAATTTATTTTGGTCTTGTTTCTGTGTTTTCTCTTTTTATTCTAAGTGATGAATTTCAATCCTTCTGAAAAAGAACCAATAAAATCTGAAGTTATGGATGATAAAAATTGTTTGCATACATGGCATACATGTAGCAATAACATATGATTTTCAATAAAAATAGCTATGCGGTATGGATTTTACTGATTGTTGAAGGTTGTCCAGTGTCATCAGTTGCTAACCTCCTACATCCTTTGGTCTCTGATGGAGAGTTGTCAAATTAGCAACATACCACATCTTCCTATTCTAATATTATATAACAATCAATTTATGTATTCTTCTTTATAACATTTGGGTATTTTCCCCAGTTATATATATAGATCAATGTTAAAACTTTAGGCAATTACAATAAAATTCCATTTTTCACAAGAATTTGCAATATAGTATACAGAAAACCAACAATAGAAACAGCACTTCTTCAAGTTTCTGAAGTTCTGAAAGAGTTCCACTTGTGTTTTATTTCAATTAGAAAATACATTGAACTCTTTGGACATGTTGGAAATTATAACATTGATACAAAAATTTTTTGTTTTTTTTCTTATTTTTGTGTTGTTCGGTTGCTGTCTCATTTTTATATATGGTTATACATATATCCTTAATCTTCTTTTTTTTTAAACTTAATCATTAATAGTAAAAATGGGATATTTTTTATTTTGATAATCTCAAAACATTATTATTCTATCAAATAACTTATTTCCAAGTTCACAAAACACCAATGTGTCAGATATTAAATTTAAGACATGTATAAACATGATCAACAAGCAGTTGACAGGATGTCATGCAAAAATCTCACTAATATTAAACTTTCACAAAAACTCCATACTCAGCGAGTACTATTAACGTTCTTTATAGTACAAGACAAATTCCTAATACAGGACACCATGCATGCCTGGTAAACACTAGCATGTGTCAATGTCTAGTCAATCATGTAATCAGGCTCAAAATCTTAGTTTGGCACTGAATTTAAAAATTCAACACATAATGAACATGTGTATGAAATTCAACTTTATGGTAAGCTATACCCTACTGAAAATGAGTACGGGATTCCACTGGATTTCCAGTGAAATTACACTGGTATTCAGTGGAAAAAAATATTCCGATGGAATCCCATTAGAATTTCATCCAAAACATCTGGAATATTTTTCACACTGTAATTCCAATGGAAAATCAGTGAAATTTCCAATGAAACTTCCAAAGATTTTCCAATTAATTTCCAGTGGAATATTATTGTTTATATTTCAGTGGAGTTTTGATTTAATGCAAATATTCCAGTGGAATTTTGGACTTAGAAATTTAAAGGAATATATACTTCTAATTTAAATTTTTCAAATAATTAAGTGCATGATTATTATATAAAGGATTTAATTTGTAACATATAATTTGCTGGCCTGATAAGAAATTAAATATTATAATCATGATAATATATGGGATGTAATGAATATTTCATAAACCTACATATATACATGTATATGAAACATTTGTTCAAAAAATGTTACATGGTTAAATGTGATATGAAATCACTTGCCTAGTAACAAATGAAAATAATCATTCGGTCTGAAAGACCCCCCCCCCCCCCATATAAAATAAGTAAAATGGTAGCTCCTCAGATGTAGGGTGAATATAATGCATCACCATATAGCCTATGAGTATGACACATTGAAAGGATACATTTTAACTATTAAGAAATAAAATTAAATGTGCAATAATCAGATAATATAAATAAAGAAATGAATATTTTATATCAAATTGGGTTGAGAATAAGATTCTGTTTGATTTAACGAACAAAAACAATTAAGATTCTTTTTGAAAAATGTGCATGGCTCTTAAAAGGGCCGTTTTAAACAGATCTGTTGCAGAAATTATCTTCAGACTGTACGAATTGTTAGGATAACTCCGTTTTTTTCTTCAAGTGACCGTACTGGCAACTGCCCTGCACTACAGTCTACATGTATACAATAATATAATTATTTCTCCTTTGACTTCATCATGTTCATTAACTGTTACTGGTCTACTGTTCTTTTGAGAAAAGTAAAGTGAACGGCTTTCATTTTCCACATTGTTCTATAAACTGTTTCGGTATCTTAACTTTGTCGGTGTGATAAATTTTTCATCATTTTCATGTCCTGAACTCGGGTCATATAAGTTAATCTATAGAAACATTTCACATATAACCCGCTCCAATCAATTGTACGCTAAATGTCAGTGTTTTGGCATAATTTGAGCAGAAAATTCGCGAAACTGTAGTCTATAATGTTGTTTTTCAACACACATGTTTACATTCATGGAGGCTGCCATTTTTTTCTACCAGACTATATATATAACCGCTGATTTGATTGGATAACTCTATTTCCGGGATTTCCGATCGGCCAATCAGATAGTCGTTATCATTAATACACGGAATGTGTTCAAATTTGAAACTAAAAATATTGTACGAGTATGTATCCTGTCCAGCATTGTCCAGCTGTGGTTACATTAATCATGTTAATAATAATTAATACTCAACAACCGTCGATAAATAAAGAAATAGACGTTAAAGGCAGAACATTTAGGTATGACATTAGCTGTTGAACCAAGAATTTACGATGTGCTGATGTAGGGCAGACGTACAGCAGATACAGGTAATTTTTAAGAGATTTTACATTTGATTTTTACATCATGAATATTTTTAATTAAAATTAAAAAAAAAAGATATACACCCCCTTTAGTTTCATTCATGGGCTCTGTTAGTTCACACTTTGAGGATGACCATTTGGTGTTCTGAAAAGGGGGAGGTGGGAATGTAATAATAATTTTATTATTCAATATTGAATTACATTGTGTGCCTTCACAATCAAGGAAAGATGTTTACAGTTAACTACACAATGTCAAGCACATTCAACTTAATTTTGTCATGTTCTGATTTGGATGGACATGCAACACAAAAAATCCCTAAAGGTTAATATTGTGTTTTAGAGTATTTATACTTAACTGAAAGAAGCTTCTTAATTATATATGTACATTGTATGATAAATATCAGTAATATATGATGCATACAGGTCATGACCAGAATTAAAAATTATTAATAAAATGTTTTTACATTTTTTTTTAGGTTGTCCATATATTAAAAGGGATTGATCACGGTGAAGGTACAAAGCTGCAAAAATGATGACTGTGCATCGATCAATATCCACTCAATAATATGAAAACACGATGAAAACAAACGAACCAGCAGCAGAAAAGAAATTTGAGTATAAGATTATTGAAAGGTACTTATTGAATTATTTTTTCATCCTTCCCACACTTGAAATAAAAATACATTAATCATGTTAATCATTCACATCTATAAGCTGTAAACACATCTCAAAAACATTGATCTGATCATCATGCACAATGGTTAATCATGGCTATTATGTGAACAAAATGAGGTGTCTGGTATGCTTCAACCAGATAGTAAACCAACAACAAACACAACACAAAGGGAAAGATAATATGAGGCTAAATAAAAATATTTGCGTGGTTCTAATTACCTTACCTACCTTTTTTTTTAGTCTTAACAATAGCCTACCCTAAAGATTTTTTTGTCATTTTTCAGTAAGTACTGTTTAAGTCAGAATGTTGCTCCCATAGACATGATAGACTCAATGTAAAAAATAAACATAAAATAAAAAAAATTCTTACCTACCTACCCTAATTTTTTTTTAAATGTAACTGGAACCACACATACTATTTTATTTGGCTTTGAGAGACACCTGATCCATGAACAATAAAAGTCTATTTTGATAAAAAGAGATGTGTGTTATAAGCCTAAGAGACAGCAACCCAACAACTACTATAGCCAAAGATATCTAGAGAACACATAGTCTTCAACAATAGACATACATGTGTCTAAATTGCTCTTAGTGTATAAATGTTGTGAATAAATTACACACAAACACAAATAAAATATGCCAGTAACATATATTTTTGAATAATTGCAGACTGGAGCATGGTATTGTAATGTTATTCTAATTCAAAATTCTATGCATGTTATGATGTATGATTTTTTTTCTTTCAGATTAATCAATGAAGACTTAATGGAACAGGATTGGAATGCAGAAACTTTGGACTTAATTCATGAATAATATCAATGGATGATGAAGAAAACTGACCAAACTGACAAAGTATTTCGTATGCATGTTAACTGGACATTTTTGTTTGTTTAATGCACAATAAACAAATTTGTAAAATTGAAAATTAAAACCATTTGTGAAAGATTTCAAGAGGACCAAAAGTTACCATGGACTTATGAATGATTTAACCAGAAAAATGATTTACATGTACAATTAAGTAAATACATCTTTGACTAAAAAATGATAATTTATCAACGTTAATATTTTAAAGAGGTTGATCTTTTCGTTTAAAAGGTCTTAAATGTGGATGATGTATAAACTGTTGTAATTTCTTTAATTGTTGACTTGCATTAAAATGGTTATTGTCTTATTTCAAGTTTTCTTATTAATTCATTCAAAAATAAGCAGTGCATGCAAAATGATATCTAACATTTCAGTGGAATTGTCAATTTCCATTGAAATATCACTGGTTTTCTTTGGTTGATTGTTACAATTTCCAATGGAATTACCACTGGTATCCCAGTAGAAAACAATAAATGTCCAGTGGGAAAACAATGGTATTCCAACGAAGTTTTCACTGGTATTCCAATGGAATTTCCACTGTATTCCACTCGAGTATTCACCGGAATCCCACTGGATATTCCACTGATATCCCAATGGAAAACAATGAATGTCCAATGAAAATCCCGACCAAATTTCCCAGTGGTAATACAGTGGTATTCCAATGGAACTCTGATGAAACTCCACTGGTATTTTCAGTGAAATCCCACTTTACATTTTCAGTAGGGTATACCTTAACCTAAAACTTTAACCTAAGAATGTACTATAATTTCACATTATGACATTTTTATGTTCAGTGATTCATAAAATCAGGGTAAAAACAGTAAATGTGGTGTATAATGTATAAACAAGAGTGCACACGCTGAAATGTTGCGCCTTCCTACCTAATCATTGATATCATGTTGATAGTCCTAAATATAAAGCTTTACTACAACTATCACATAAACTCAACATGATCCAAGAAAATGAATTCAAGGTCATATGAACCTGACAAGAAATATATGTACACCTTACAATCATTCAATATACTAAATACAGTTGAACTATTGCTTATAGTTTCTAACATTGTCTAAGAAGCAGACTTAACCAAGAAAACTAAACATTGACCAATGAACCATGAAAATGAGGTGAAGGGCAGATGAACCATGCCAGGCAGACATGTACAGCTTACAATCCTTCCATACAACACATATAGCTGACCTATTGCTTATAGATTAAGAAAAACAGACCAAAACACAAAAACTTAACACTGAGCAATGAACCGTGAAAATGAGGTCAAGGTCAAATAAAACCTGCGAGACTGACATACATGTACATCATAAAATGTTTCCATACACCAAATATAGTTGAACTATTGCATTTAGTATTAGAAAAAAAGACCAAAACTCAAAAATTTAACTTTGACTACTGAACCATGAAAATGAGGGCAAGGTCAGATGACACCTGCCAGCTAGACATGTACACCTTAAAATCATTCCATACACCAAATATAGTAGACCTATTGCATACAGTATAAGAAAAACAGACCAAAACACAAAAACTTAACTATAACCACTGAACCATGAAAATGAGGTCAAGGTCAGATGACACCTGCCAGTTGGTCATGTACACCTTACAGTCCTTCCATACACCGAATATACTAGACCTATTGCTTATAGTATCTGAGATATGGACTTGACCACCAAAACTTAACCTTAAATATAAAAAAGAAGATGTGGTATGATTGCAAATGAGACAACAACTCTCCACAAGTGACCAAATGACACAGAAATTAACAACTATAGGTCACCGTACGGCCTTCAACAATGAGCAAAGCCCATACTGCAGTCAGCTATAAAAGGCCCCGAAATGACAATGTAAAACAATTCAAACGAGAAAACTAACGGCCTAATTTATGTACAAAAAATGAACGAAAAACAAATATGTAACACATAAACAAACGACAACCACTGAATTACAGGCTCCTGACTTGGGACAGGCACATACATACAGAATGTGGCGGGATTAAACATGTTAGCGGGATCCCAACCCTTCCCCTAACCTGGGACAGTGGTGTAACAGTACAACATAAGAACGAACTATAAAAATCAGTTGAAAGAGGCTTAACTCATCAGATGGATAAAAATATAAATACTACAAATACAAGTGAACGTGGCTGGGTACTTGTACATCCAAACAACAAAAAGACACTAAGTATAGATCTGAGAGTACTCGCAGTTACTGACAGCTAGTACAAAGCCACTAACAACTAATAAAAAAAATCATGCATCTAAGACTAAGTTCTTGTTCACTGATCCATGAAATGAGGTCTAGGTCAAGTGAAAACTCTCTGACGAGCATGAGGACCTTGCAAGGTACGCACATACCAAATATAGTTATCATATTACTCATAATATGAGAGAAATTAACATTAAAAAAAATCTGAACTTTTTTTTCAAGTAGTCACTGAACCATGAAAATGAGGTCAAGGACAATGGACATGTTTCAGACAGAATTGGTATCATGACATGAGGCATCTATATACAAAGTATGAAGCATCCAGGTCTTCCACCTTCTAAAATAAAAAGCTTTTAGGAAGTTAGCTAACGCCACCACCATAGCTGCCACCGGATCACTATCCCTATGTCGAGCTTTCTGCGACAAAAGTTGCAGGCTCGACAAAAATGCATGAACATTTTAAAGTACTAAATTTTAAGTATATACATGTAAAACCACAAGTTACTAACTGAAGTTCAGTCTCATGGTGAACTGTAACCAAAAACTTTTAAGTGAATACAATTTAGAGAAAGACAGATGGACGCACAAACACTATCAAAACAGAGCATAAAACTTACCGAACAAGATCTTTCAGAAGCAGGAAAATTGAAGTGTTTCTTTTCTTTCTCTGCCCTCCATGATATAAACTTCAAATTCATTCATGCAAAATATGAAAATCTGCAAAAGTAGGACCTTGTACCGCAGCTTATCCACATTTTGACTTTTGAACTGCATTGTTCTTTTCATCTTGCTGGCAACCTAAACATAAAAAAAAAAAATGATAAACACATAATTCTGGATTAATTTCGTGAATTTATTTTTGTTGGTACAAACAATTTTTTCCAACTTTAAACTAAATCTGCCTCTGCTTTAAAAAACAACTGGAAACCATTATTAACTGCATGTATTTATCTTAATTGAAAACAATTTCTTGAGTTTTTCTCATTTGTATCACCCTGTTATTATATATAAATTTTATTTTTGTCCCTTTTTAAAAATAGGAATGCATGGTTTAAATTCCTCAATAATCATGATAATTCTAGGTCAGTCAATTAAAAATGTATGAATAAATTATTTAACCTATATAATATTAATATCAATATATTTATTTTTTGATAAAAACTAGGCTCTGTGTTAAAGACCGTACCTTGACCTATAATGGTTTACTTTTATAAATTGTGAATTGGATGGATAGTTGTCTCATTGGCACTCATACCACATCTTCCTATATCTACAAACAGATTCTATGGGCGAGCAGACATTACACCCTGGAGGTGGTTTTATAAAAAGCATATGACTTAGATGTACCATAAGCATGGAAAAACAATTCAGCAGTCAGTTTCACAAAAAAACTTACAAATAATATTGATAGTAATTAAGTCATGTACAATACAGTATACTTTATACGCCGGATTACTTGTATTTTTTTTTTTGTAAAACCGACTCAAGTATACTTATAATCAATCTTAGTCGTAAGTATTAAGTATTATTCATCTTTTGGATAATTTTATGTTGGTTTATTTTATGAATATGCAGTGGCGGATCCAGAACTTTTCATAAGAGAGGGCCGGCTCCAGTCATGCTTCAGTGATCCCTATATAATCAACCAAATTTTTCCCAAGAAAGAGGGCCCGGGCCCCCTCCCCCCCCCCCGCACCTATTTGAACTTTCAAATTCACAACATGCCGGTGCCTGTGACTGTGTTCAAAGTGGTGGGTTTTCACCCTCGTTGTATTGCGGAATAACGATTTAGGCAAATTGAGAAAAACATCATGTCTGTGGTTGATAATAGTGTGTATGCATTAATTTTCTATACCTTCTTATTTAATATTTTTCCAATTTTGAGTACTGACGGCAAGTGTTGTAACGTATAGTGTACCAATGTCTTGAGACCAATGTGCTATTTACAAGTGCGATCGAGGAATGCAGGGGAAAGAAACTTATCAATTATGTTTATTCTTAAGACAAAACTGAGCCGCCGTAAAAATGAACCGTGTCGAGAATGTTACTGACACGTAATAGGGCAGAGACATATATACACATATGTGTATATATGTTTCTGTAATAGGGTCATCCCTCGAGAACATTAACAAGTACATTGATAATTTACTATGCAGTCAGTATCCCGAAAAAAAACAACGTATGGATGCAAAACGCTTAGTGGTTTAGGCTGACTGCTGATACGTGCACTTTGTCTCAAAATATCCCGGATAGTTGTTTCATTACCAATCATACCACATCTCCTTATTTTTATATATACGAAAGCTTTATTCATATTTTTTGGTGTATTGATGAATGTGTATATATATAAAGATACATTTTAAAATACAGCACAAGAGATGCAGATTATATAAAACTTATAGGTCGAAGACATACTGACAACGCCATGGCAAAAACTTAAAAACGACCAAATGACGTACAACAGTCTATAAAACTTAACCATAGCATACAAAACGCAAATATTTAAAACACATAAGAAGCACCCAGACAGTCAAATAGAAATTAAAAGAATAAATAATTTGTAAACTAGGCCTACAGCTATATTTTCTTATCATCTAACAGTAAACATAGGTTCTGGTATTATGTGATAAGTCATTTTTTCATGCAGACCCAGTTTCATTGATACTTTGAACTTAAAGTGGTTTTATGCATATCAGCCCAGATTATCATATGTGTGTAATTTTATTAAACAATTCACCAATACACATTCTAAACAGGTTAAATTCAATTTACAAATTCAGATCTACTGGCATTCAACACCCAATTACTTACTTGCTGTATATTGCTAACTTTGATTGTATATTGTCAATCCCTCAACATCGTGAATACGCCATGCGAGGTGTTGGCTATGTTTGATACAGGGTGGCGGCTTCGAAGCGTAGAACAAAATCCAGGTAAATGAAAGTATAAAATTTTGTTGTTGAAAATTTTAAGTACTAAATTCCTAAATTTGTACTTAACTCTGTTCTACGGGTAACATGGTTGTTTGATATAAAAATAGGATAAAAGCTTCCGAAAATTATCACATTATAAGTATTCGTAAATGGATATGAAAAAACCTAACAAGGAATAAGTATTGGTAAACGGACAGAAAGTCGCAGTACAAAAGTTTAAATTAATTATTTTACAATTGTTTAAATATATGAGAGAAAGTTCTTGACGAATTGACTTTATTTATAGATAAATGTATTTAGTTGAGGAAATGATTAATTCGCCTTCAAATAGTTTTTTTTTTGTCAAAAACTTATAAAAAGGAGACATTTTTGACAGCATGAAGCCAGTTAATTACCAAACCACTTTGGCAGATTGTTTTCTTAACAATCATTGTTCAATATTAATATTCAAAAATAAATTTTGTTTACAAGTCCGTTTCCTTTTAAAAATATTTCAGAAAAATGCTGAAACGTTTTTAAAATTAAGTTTTAATTTATTCAAAGAAAAAAATATCCCAAAACTGAATCGTGACTTTTTACTTGTTACTTTATGTTGTACGTTCTAAGTGTCAATCCTAGCAAACACAAATTTGGAAATAAAATCGATTACAATGTAATTTTATAGAAGAAAAAAAGGGGGGTTAATGAACAAATTATTACTATACACTCATATACTTCTAAAAAGATTTGAATTTGTAAGCTGTCTATAGATAATGTTAAATTATTTCAAGAGTTTCAATTAATTTAGGAGAAAAAAAAAATTATAAACAGTTTAGTTTTCGTCGCCTACTACTATAAAAAATAGTGATTCTTTTTGTAGATTTGGTACTTCAGTTTCGACTCAAAATTTCCTATTGAAATTGTTAGAAATATTTAGGAGAAGATTGTTTTTGAAATTTATGTAATTGTGGTGATATTGGCGACGCGATTCTTTATATTATAGCAAGGATTTGTACAAATCCTTGATTATAGAATGTTCGACAATAGACGAAAGTAGACAAACCCTATTTAAACGGGGTTTTGATATCCAAGGACGCCACATTTTACATCGAATAAGATCTATATTTTTTAACGTTTTCAAATGAAATAACTTGAATTGAAAATTTCCCGACTATGTGAAGATTTCTTATATTTCGAAATGGCTTCAATTATTACATACAAAATGAAAAATGTATTAAACTTCTTTTTGTAAAAACAATATTCGTGTATTTTTAGAAACATAAGTTATACAGATGTTCTCAATAAAAAACAATCATTAATATACTTTATGGTGATATTTATAATGACTGGCAGACTGCTATTTAAAAGTGCGGTCATATGCCTCAGTGTTATAGGTGACTGCAATTTAATAAAATTGAAATTAAGATTTTTATTAATATTTTGTATATAGGTATCCCTCAATGATGTATAGCATGGACAGACTGAGAAGAAATGGTATTCATCCTCAATTTCTCGTCTACTGCAGGATAGGCAAATAACATAAGTTTATTTGCTACTTTTTTTCTTCTTTATTTTATATAAATGATTTTTTTTTCTTCAAATTTTAACATTTTTTTCTTCGAAAAAATTGTAGTGTTGCAACAGGGAATGGACACAGATACTTAACTATATTTAACGAAAGAAATTTTGTGTAATGTCATCAATCTGTATTACACATCGACAGGATGTTCTCTAGAAAACTATGGTATTTCTAAAACGTTATACACACCCCAGGGTACACGCACTGTCGTAATGGAAAATTACTGCATGCTTGAATTACCTGTAATCAGCCATGCAACAAATCCGTTGACTGACCATGTCATTACAGTTTAAATTTTTTTTCCTTAGATCAAAACGGAATATTTATTTTAACTTTAAAATTTAAAACTTTAAAAAGTATACTTTGACATAATTATGAAGTAAAAGAATTTAACAATTTAATAATTGGATTTTTCCAAAGATTATAAGATACAATTATTATATTTATTATTCTAGGACTGACAGATATATCACAGGCACTTGTCTCAGATTTTTTCCCCTATATACCTTAATTAAAGTATATAGATTTTTTTTTCTGAGACAAGTGCCTGTGAGATATATACATGCATAAGTCCCAGACATATATACTTTTTACATAATTACTGGGAAATAATATAATGTTTCAGTTTTGTTGATGTCACAAATACACATGAATTATTTGATGATGCATGCTGGAATTTCTTATCTAAATGCATGACCGTGACTACAGACATATATCTATTTACAGATTCTATAATTTCTTGAGAAAAAAAATCAGGAGGGAAGTCAGAGGGAAGTGAAACAAACATTTTAAGCTTTTATTAAACATTGTTGGGAAAACAATAAAATACGACACTGATTTTTGAAAAAAAAGTTTATGATTGGTCTTGATTTTTTTTTAACAATGATAGAAACAATTTTTTGTCCCAAGAAAAAAAAACAATGCCCCCTTTTTAGCCACACCGACACACGCCGATGAATGGAGAATTCCAAGTAGGGTCACAAGGTCACATTTTAAAACTTTTTCAGTCGCCCAGTCTCAAAAAGCAATTTTGACTGGCTTTGTTTTTAGTCGAATTATATTTTTGCAGGTCAGGTTGCAAAGTGGCAGGTCGGATTTGACCATGTTGACAACGGTCCTAAAAATATCCGAAAAAACGTTGAATCAAACGATATGAACCTACACAGTTTTAATTATAAGACTGACACACACCATGCAGTGTGCTAACTGTGCTGGGTGAGGTGCTGTAACTTGATATACATGTATCATTAAGTTACAGTACTGTTAGGATTTGCCTGCCTTTTTACAGGGACTTTCTATATTAACTGTTAGTATAGACTGACCCTGGCTTGAAAGTATGGTTCTCTGCTCAGCAACGGTCGCGTGATTGTAGCAGTAAAATACATCGGGGGAGGGGGCACTTCAATACTTTATTGATAGGGGGGTCGCTTGGGTTCTGTTACCCCACCCTTTTCATATAATTTAGATCTTAAAAAATGTATACCTTTTCATATATTGCGTCGGTAAAATTGTAACCTTTTCCCATATTGGTTGGGTTTCGTGGGGTGTGTTGGAAAAGTGGAATATTTAAGGCTAAGATTCTGTGTGTAATGTTTACTTACGGCGAGACTTTCGGCTGTGAAAAAATGACAGGGCTTTGCATATAGAGTAATATACGCAAATGTATAAGTTAATACATTAATTCAGGAGCACAAGTCTGTCTTTAACGTAAATAACTTCGAGATTAATATATAAGTTTACTTTGCTTATCGATGTTCCTGTAATTCAGATTAATATTTATTTGTGAGACCCCCGTCACTATTTATATTCACTCAAGAGTCACTTAAAGAAAGGGGTTCTCCGTTACTGGGAAAATCTTAACTGATTTAGGATCAATTTATTGGTTACACTCCCCTATCACCAGTGATTCTTTGTCGTAAGCTGACATTTTGAAAAAGGTATACTGTTGACTATCAATTTGCATGATTAGTTACAGATGTCGACTCGGACTACTGCAAAAGACAATAATTCAGTTCACTGATTTAGATTGAATAGTGGTTCGGTTAATTCTCCTTTTCCCCAAACAAGTAAGAATTAGGTTACATCTTTAGGTAGTCAAAATAATTATGACGTCTTGCAAGACTATTTTAATTTTTTTTCTATCTATCTATCTATCTTCATATTTCCGCACTCAGTCACAACTTTGACTATCATGTGGCCAGAAAAAAAGTTAAAATAGCCTTGCAAGACGTCATAAATTTTTGGACTAATCTTTCGGCAAATATGGTCGTACAACAGGGGTTTAATTGTTACAATTTGCCGGATTTTCTATTCTTACGAACCCTGAAAAACTAACCAGGCCAGGTGATGAAAAATCTGTCTCCACTTTTTATCCCACCAGAAAATCAAAAGGTTGTCTCCTTATGGAGCTTCCATTTGATTTTTATGGGGTGGGGGGAGCTAGGATGAAATTTGTAAAAAAAGCAGGACAGGAGTTTTGAGTAAAAAAAAAAGGCAGGATGAGCAACATGGCAAAAAAAAAAAAGGCAGGATGACAATTTATGTAAAAAAAGTCAGGATAAACTAATAAAAAAAAAAAGGCAGGATCAA